ACGAGAGATGATGAATGGCGGATACCCGAGACAGAAAGCAAAGGCTTGTTCATGGCCTGGTTTCTTATTTGTCACAATAATATCCATATGCAGCTATAATTAAAAGGTTGAAGAGAGAGAGAGAGAGAGAGAGAGAGAGAGAGAGAGAGAGTAAAATAACCGAATATATCAAGGGAGAGCGGTGAAAGAAAACAAACCAAGATCAGTCTGCACACATGCTCACAAAGCAAACAACTACAAAACTCAGAACAAAACGAAAACGAAAGCTACACAAAACTCAGGTCTTATTGGAAGTTATCCTGTCCTCCAGAGTCATAAAACCAAAAAACACAGGGTAGATATCGGTCTCTCCCTCCGAGAAATCAGCTCAGTCGCACCAAAGACTACCGGGATTGTCCAGGTTATGAAATAACAATCCAATAATTCTCTCTGATGAAACGGTCTTTTCAGCCTCCTGACAGCTCTGGATCAAAGTAAAGACTTTTTCCTGTCTCATTTTCACCTTACCTTCATGAGAAGTGAAAATTAAGAAGTGACTGACAGATAGTAACGAGGCCAAATCCCAGATTTCGTTGCTCATAACTGCTAGGGAATATGGTGTCGGTATGATTCAGTGGCGAGACAGACACACTGAGGAGAACGACAGAATCGAAAGCGTCGTATCATTGGACATTCACGATGACCCTCTTTAATGGTGGAAAGCTGTGCGTTGGGGTTCCTGTACAGAGCAACTGGCAAGGGAAATGTGGCTCCGTACACTAGTTATCATATTTCTTTCCGCCTTTGGTGAAGAACGCTGAAAATGACTAGTGACAGCGTTACAAAAGTCACATCAATACGCTTTCTTGTATTGGCATACCCGTGTACGCCCAATCAAAAAGACCTTCGTAGAACTTTCATAACCTCTTCAATAGGAAGCTGAATAAATTTGTAAAACACCGCGGCGTTTCTCTTCCAAACTGTTCAGTACATAAGTATGCCCGAATAAAAGTCAGTAATCATTGGTAGTCACGACAGAATTCGTATAAAGAAAGGTGGTTGTGTAGTTGTCAAGACATAAAGTTTGACACTCATAATATTGTTTTCCTTAAAGGGAGTCCTAGTCAGCACGAAAGGCCAGTTTCGTGGGTTTTACAGTAAACAAAAAACAAACAAACAACCCAACAAACACCCCAACAAACAAAAAAACAAACAAACGAAAACCCGCTACCTTTTGAAAGCTCTGGGCGTGGCAGTGTTTTAAAGAAATCGTCACCTTTTAAGTAACAGCCGCTGCCTTCCCCTGGTCAAAAGATGGCACGACTGTTATAGGCGACAGTGCTCAAGCCTCCCCCGGGGGAGAGAGTGTGAATAGGGATATTTATTTCAGAGCGCCACCTTTAACTGCAGTTCCTTACAGGTAGAGGGTTCGTAGTATTTAAACCATGTCAGTCACACCTAATGAGGAACTATAACGCCAAACGTAGCGCCTTCGTGTCCAGAAAAACACAACCACTTTTATATTTTTGTATGTATGTTGACTGTATTTTAAAGAACCTACACTGGACATTTTTTTCTAAAATTTGTAGATTTTTTACTTATAATTTCCTGAGACCGGTGCAATGAAGGACCCATGTCATATTTCCCCTACATGTCAACGTCATTATGAAATGTTGAAGTAGAATATTTTGGTTGAGCAGGAAATCTAACACAGATTTTACCTTGTGTCCAGAATATTGGCAATACAAGATTCATACCGGTACTTAAAATAATGACGATGCGCATTTCCCATTTACAGTAGTTACTGGTACTGTTAATTATGACAAATGACAAAGTTACATATTCCTATAGATGCATGTTAACCATGATGTTAACATAAACGAAAGTCACACACTGTATGTGATAATACAAACACAGTTTGCAGACAGAAAAAACGCCATAACCTTAAAGCACGCATTGTTCTCACGTGCCTGTCATTTTTCAGCTTATGCACGGAAACTAAGCTGGCATAACTAATTAGATGCATGCACCAAAGGCGGGAAATTGCCTGAACCGTGATTGCCAGTGAAAAGATGTGTGAACGCTTGTAAACTAAAATGCATAAAAGTTCACACATGATAATGCGCCTTGAGCACCAAGCAGGGTGGATACGTTCGCAACATAAGAAATCGGTACTATTGTTATTATTATTATCATATATGTTGGGGCAATTCTTTCCCCACATTGGCCACAACATTAACTCAAAACACACTGACACAAATGGTTAACTATAAAATAACTTCTGGTTGACGCTGCCTTTGTAAAACCAGAAGTTGTTTGCATTATATTATGGTCGAAGTGGACATAAATTCAGACATCGTGTGTCTTTAAAGTCTTCGTAGAACTGAACAACTCGGTAGAAACATCTGCCACTTTTTTCAGTCTGTGTCACCACGAAATCGATACTTTTCTTTCGATTCAACCCAAAACACCCTCCAATAACAAATCATGGCTCATATCAGTAGCTGCAGAGAGGAGCTGTTAACGAACCGATTCTGCAGAAGTCAAGACCCGGACTTCGAGACAATTTCATCTTGAAACTCGCCCCCGTGGGATTCACACACTTCCTTCACGGATAGGTTACGGCTTTTGCCGACAGCCTACACGCTTGACATAATATCTTCAGGGAATAAATACGGGAGGCAAAGTCTCCGAGACCCACAGGACTCACACTACACCTGCATCAGATGAAGTGAAACAGAGCAGGCCCATGAGCCCGCAGGACAAGGGCATGCGGTGTTGGACAGTGAAATATACCCCACAAGTGTAATTAGTTGAAACCGACCAATGAATAAGACCTAAGAAGCTAAATTGCCGTGTTTATGAAAATGTTAGTAGCTGAAGAAATTTCAGTAGGTGTTGAGTTTGTAATGGCATTTATAGGTCTCGCAAGGTTTTTTGAAGTGAATTATTCATTTATTTTATATATCTGCTGACAAAAATTTATAAATTGAGTAAAAGGGGAAATCGCCCTAGTCTGGACAAAAGTTTGAACAAAA